GAGGTTGAGGTTTCAGATCTTCTAGTGATAGTAGCTTATTGGTTGCTACTTCAGCTCCTAATTAATGAAGGTTTCAGCTAATTTTACCAACTAAGCAGATGTCCTGGTCTAGTGGAAGGTTCTGGTCTAGTGGAAGATGTCCCTGCCCATGGCAGGGGGTTGGAACTGGATGATCTTTAAGGTCCCTTCCAACCCAAACTATTTTATGATTCTGTGATTTCTCCAAAAGATGTTTAAAGGAGCACAGAGGCTACACAGAGACCTGAAGGTTAACAAAGTCTAGTGTGAAAGCACAAGAGAAAAGGGGGGAAAAAAGCTGTGCATCGTGCTGATATATTAAATTTAAGTCATTTGAAAAGTAGAAACAAGGACACAGTTCAAAATTAATGTAAAAGCATATTGGAATCATAGGATGGTTTGGGTTGGAAGGGACCTTGAAAATTATCTTATTCTGTTCTTATTCATGGGCAGAGACAGCCTCCACTGGACCAGGTTGCTCCAAGTCCTTCCCAACTTGCCTTGGACGCTTCCAGAGATGGGGCATCCACATCTTCTCTGAGAAACAATTAGACAGGGATTGTGTAAAAACCTAAGGTAAAAAGACATGGATAACCAGCATTAATAGGGGTCATGAAAAGACCTTGTAAATACATTGGAAGTTGGAGGGAGTCGAGGGAAAATGCAGATCTCCTCCTTAGCAGAGTGATGATAATAAATAAGAGGTACCACACCCAATAAACTGCTGGGTGTAATTGTCTAAAGGATCCAAAATCCCTTTGGACTCACTGTGGGAATAATTTTGGTAATGAACAGGTCTTATTTGAAAGCAGTGTATTGTGATTTTTCCCATCTGAGACCAGTGCAGACTCTGGCATTTTACTGGAAAGCAGGATGTTTGGGCAGGCTGACTGAGAGGGTCAGAGGCAAAATTTCTTCAGACATCGATAGTTTAAAAAGCAAGAATTTAAAGGTGTTTATGTAAGTATATTCATTACAGTGGATTGGGCAGTTTAGGTAAGGCCAAGTCACTGGATCTGACCCAAACTGGCTGTGCAGCAAAAGGAGCAGTGTATGGATAGATGCTGAGTGTAAAGTTGTGGTCTGAAACCTACTCAGAGCTCTTTTCTTTAAAGGCAGGCAGGAGTTGCTAAGACTTCTGATCACAGGGCTTTTCTGGGGGACTGTGAGACAATTAAAGTTCTGCTTAAGCTTAAGAGGAGGTGTTTTTTTTTTTTTAAATTTCTTTGTGGTCAGCAATGTGATGCACATTACCAAGAACTGGGTTTGAAAGTTCTGTTCTCTTCCAAACACAGACAGTAACCATAAAACCAGAAATAGGGATATTTTTTTTGTGGTCTGTGAAACAGAATACTCCCACAGAGGTATTCAGTGGCAAGAAAGGACTCTCACCCCAGGTATGTGAATAAGGCTGAGTTTACCCAGTAGGTTTACTGGGTTTTATGGAATCATAGAGTGATTTGAGTTGGAAAAGATTTCTAAGATCACCAAGTCCAACCATCAGCTTGACAACACCACCCTGTTCACCACCAAACAACGTCCTCAGGTGCCATATCCATGTGGTTTTTGGACACTTCCAGGAGTGGTGACTCCACCACTTCCCTGGGTAGCCCCTTCTGATGCTTGACCACTCTTTCCATGAAGAAATTTTTCCTGCTATCCGGTCTAAACCTCCCTTGACACTACTTGAGGCCATTTCCTCTTGTCCTGTTGTCACCTTGCCTTGTTCATCCTTCAGCAGGAGTATCTATCCTGTTTGCTATCCTAGGAATCAGTCTGTATGGAGTCCTTCCTGGACCTGAAAAAGGGAATCCAGCCATACCACGTGTGTTGGTTTTCATGACACATTCAGTGTCTGTGTCCTGCTACACGTGGATAAACTCTCCTGCAGGCAGGGATGGCATTAACCTGTTCAGCTCCCAAGTGCAATCAGGCGAGCAGGAAACTCAGGCTGAACAGAAAACGTTTGGGGAAGCAGTAAACATTTCACTTACGGAGTATTTGGGAGTATATATTGAGGGTAGGGCTTGGTCCTTAATTTAAGTTTTCTGGATGAGGTCAGCGGAAGGACAAAGCTCATGGTAGGTCAGGTCGAGAGAGGAAGCCCTGCAGCAAATATTTTTATGTACAGAGCTCCAGCCTGTACATGCTGGGGCTGTTTAGCACCTACGAGGGAGGGCTGAGCCTGCTCTGCAGTCTGAGATTTCTCACTCTGCTCCCAGGAAGAACACGCTGTGAGGGTACCTTTTACCAGCATTACATATTCTAAAATTAAAGGTTCAGTTAATAAGTCATTTTAACAACAACAGCAACAACAAAATTACAGTCTGTTCCTTGGGCTTTGTGCAAACCTGATGTTCCCTAAGTGCTGCATACTCAAATGGAATTATACATTTTCTTCTGGGAGCGAGAGATCCAATTTCTGTGCCATTTTACGAGATAGGCTTGGTACTGGGTGTTGATCAAACATTTGAGAGCACTGCAGGGAGGGAAGGGGGTGGAAGAAAAAAAAAAAAAAAACCAACCAAAAAGTAGTAGCAGAAGATGCTTTAGTAGTTAAGTACTTCTTTTGTAGGAGAATTGTTTCCAGGACAACAAGGTTGATGGAGTTATAAAGTGAGTGTGTGTTTCCTTTCCTCTTCTACTTGTTACTAATCAGTGAGGCAGGAAAACCTCACTCTGTACTCCAGTTATTACATCAGTTATTTTTAGTCTGTCCTGGGTTGTCTACGTGGCTCTTTTCAGCTATTTAGGAGATACCTGCTATGCAAGGAATCATATTTGCTTTGTTGTTTGTTAAGATCACACAGTATTTTAAAAAAATCAAAACCTGGACCTTGAACAGCTCTGTTTGGTATTTTTGTGTGTGTGTTTGTTTTTCAGAGAAATAAAACAGCTTTGTGCTTTAAGTTTCAAGCTGATCTCGCTGGTGGGATGTGAGTTTCTTTCACTGTTTGCACAGAATTTTTCCTATGTTGGTATGATACATATTTTTTTTTGTATATTCTAATGATATACTGTCATGCAAATGAATTTGGAATAAATTAGAGTATTAATTTTCTCCTAGAGTATATTCAGCTGTAGGACTCCATTGTGAGATCTATTTTCAACTAGAGTTTGGAATTTGGAATAAGAAGGCACTGAATTAAATGTAGTTGCCAATTTTAAAGGGGCACAGCTCACATAAAATCACACCCATCTCCAAAATATGTTGATCTATTTAAAATCTGGAGGAGTATGGTGAAATCTGTACTTGTGTGGTTTTCCTTTGTATATTTGATTGTACTCTGAGCCTAATTTTTTTCTGGATTGTTTTTATCCTGTGCAACAACATTTTGAGAAAGAAACATCTTTTTTTTTTTAAACCCACAAATACTGGCTGTGCGTTTTACAGGCAAAAAAATAATAAAAATAGTGGCCAGGTCATTAGTGAAAAACACACTTTGTAAAACTCTATTGTTGTGCTAAATTAAATAGCTTGAAGTTTAATGGTGCCCCTTATAAAGGAGTTCGATGATTTCATACCCCCTAATGATACATGTATTTATTTCATATTGAGATTTTTAGGACTCGGGATTAAGAAAACACTTCTCATGCATAGTTGTCTGATGAATTAATGAGATAATTGGCTTCCTTCTGAAGGCATCGGGGTTCTGCTGATGCTGAAGGTTGGATCCCACGTGCCAAGATGTTTGTGATCACTTTGTGAACAATTAAGTTTTATTCTTTGGAATTGTTTTTCCGTCCAGTTCTGTGATCCTTTATTGATTTGGGGGGAAAGCAGCATGACATGGCTTGAAACCTACCGTGCTCAGGTGACTGATTACTGCACCATCTCCATATCCCAGGGCTTTCTAACTTCTTGGAAAGGGGAGTGAAGTAGTTTGACAAATCCGTGTTGGCATTTACTTCTTGCTTTGTTATTCCTTCCTGGCCGCAAAGTAGAGCCAGAATTCCTTCTGACTGGTGTCCTTGTCTTTCCATCTCTCTGTCTCTCTTTTTTTTTTTTTTTTTTAATATTCCTTTTTTTTATTTTTCCTGAAAATTACCATTTTCAGTAGAACAAGAACAGCACTAACCTTGAGTGATGAGATGTCTCTGTGCTACATTTTCCAGTACGTCCCCAGTTACTTAGTTTTTCCATTATCTGGAGCATACCAGCTCTTCATGGAGGTTTGAGTACTTCTTCCAGGTCGCTGCTTGGCCTAGTAAGGGAATGAGGAATTTTTTTACTGCTTCTGCTGGAAGTTTACTAATTATGTGGTTAAATAGAGAATGTAGCATCAGAGCATTCTTTTTCAGGACAATACCCTCATAACTCTGCTTAGGAGATTTTTGTGTGTGGTTTTTTGGTTGCTTGCCTTTTTTTTTTTTTTTTTTTTGTTTCAATTCCCAGTAAGGTATGGATATACCTTCTCTGTTTCTACAGGTAATCTAAAGTACAAAGCAGGACATAATGACCAACCCCTTTAAAATTCAGCTCCCACTGAAGTGTTTTAGGGTACCTGAAACTTTGGGCAACCAGATATGACCCCAAACCAAGGGCAGGTCATCACCTTTCTGAATTAGGTGCTGAAGACCAACAAGGAACAGTCACAGATCTAACAAGACTACAAAGATATCTTTGAGCAATTAGTTATTTTCTTTTTTTTAATGTTTATTCCTTTTCTCTATGGCTACGAGGAATTTCTTTGGTCAGCTCTGCAGTAGGTTTTGGAATTTATTTCTGGTTCTTCAGTGTTATGCTCTAAGCACCAGGCAGTCTCCATGGTTCATCTTGATAGAGCAGTGTCATTTAGCAGAAATACTCTGGCAGTCAAAATCAGAGAAACAAAAAAGGAAGGATGGAAATATTTTTCCAGTGTTGACTGAAAGCAAACAGTAAACTTCAAGCATTAATTAACAATGTAATGAGAAACTTCAGTTCAAGCAAATACTTTTTTTTTTTTTAAACAGAATTTGTTTTCTTTCTTGTGTTGCAGAAAAAAGGAACGGTGGCTGAGTTGTACAAGGGAATGAGGACAATCCAAAACGTAAGTCAAAAGAAGGATGCTCATCTTCCTCTTTTGTAAGACTGTATGTCAGTTGTTCTGTAAGACATCCGTTTAATTAAAAAGGCAATTAGTTTTCCTCATTTCCCGGACTGTGAGTGCAGTTTGGAGAACTGTCTGGAGTTCCCTGGTTTGGAGCCACGTGGCTCGGGGTGAGGTTGCATGAGGTGGATCATTTTTCTCCTTTTGTCATCACTGTGCCAAGGCATAAAGGAGTTCAGGGTTGGGTTGTGTTCTTGCATAATTACTACTCTTGTAGCTGTCGTGGTCTGAGGATGTGGAGAGGAGAGGTTTGAAGGCAAGAAGGGATGGAAAGGGATTTTGGGCTCCAAAACTTTGTATCAGTTGGTGTAAGAAAACCTTGAACCTTCCTTTCAGGCTGCTGTATTTTGGAATATATTAAAAACATTTACTTGAGTATTTTAGGTGTTTATTGTTTGGCAAGGTTTTGAGGAACCTGGTCTAGTGGAAAGTGTCCCTGCCCATGAAACTATAGATGGTCTTTAAGGTCCATTCCAACCCAGACCATTCTCTAGTTCTCTGGTTTAGCACAAGAATTTTTTCCATTTTGGTCAAGAAAGCAGCATGTTCTTCCGTGGTGTTTTGCATAGCAAGCCTCATAGATCATCTCTCTGATTCATTTGTAGTAGACAATGGCAAATTTTAAAGAGAGATGCTTTTAACTGTCTTGAACAGAGCGTGTTCTGTGCGACAACAACATCTACATTGCAACTGTAATAACAAAACCCAAGATGAATCTGAATTTGGTTTCACACCAGCTAACAAGTGGACTCATTAAAAGATGGTATAAGGTTTTCTGTGTATTGTTGACTCAACCCTAAAACATCTATAGCTCTACAAAACGTGTCTCAGCTTGTTTACTAAGCCATAAGTATATTTTTAACGCATAGGTTTTGAAATTATTGGTGACTCTGGTTTTTCAAACAGCCTTTGTGGGGTGCTTTAGTTATTTCTTTATTACTTATATATGAACACCATTTTAATTTATACCTGTGACTCTTTGTCTGAAAAGTTTCAAGTAATCCTGCAGACTTGCAGGATCCTTTTAATAGATACTCAGTGTTTAAAAAAAGAAAAAAAAAAAAGTAGTAGAACATGTGTCAGGCATCTGCAATTCCTTCAGCATCATGTTTTCCACACTGGTTTAATAGCTGTTGAGTCTCCTCAAATGTCCTTGTTTCCAAGACCTGTTTTATGGTTATAAATCATCTTGGCTGTAAAATTCTTGAGATGATTCAGTAGGGCGACCGTTTCCTTAGCACATTCCTTGAGAGATCACAGATAGAAATGGAAAAGTCTTTAACCAGGTCAACTTTTTCCCTGCAATACATGTGGTCAGTGCTGGAAGGGATAACGAAGTCACCAACGTTTGTTCTGGTGAACTGCTCTTGTCCAGTTTTGTCTCCTGGTAATTTGCAGGGATTTTTCTGTTAAGAGATCCTAAATCACTTGGAGAAATGCCAGACCAGGTAAAGAATAAAAGCTGTGGCATGGTGGGGTGCAGCTTTCCACTCAAACAAAGGTCTGTCTCAAAATTCATATTAAAAATACTGATGAAATTACCAGAAACATCCTTCATATCCTTATCCATTTTCACATGGGGGTGGGGATGGTGCAGTCCTTGGGGTAGAGTGTGATCTGATGAGTTCTCAGGCATGCGAGGATGGCTCAGTTGTGATACCTGATCTGTCGGTTTCTGGAGGATGGTCAGGCATTATATAACCTATGGGGCTTTTTGACATCTGGAAAAGGCTGTTTAAATTGGGCATTGCTTACTGGGAGCAGGTAAGAAAGGAATTCAGCCAAGTGTCCATGAGGAGTTCTATGTATTAGGTCTCCAAGGCAATCCTGTTTCGTTGTTCATCTGGAATGTCACAATGCACAGAGGAGGGAGATGGGTTTTTGGCCAAAACTCTCTGCCCAGCTGGAGTTCCAGGTAAAAAAAACAGGCTAGAGAGGGATTCTGGGAGAGATGACATCCCTTCATCTTTAAGTTTGCATCTTTGTGAGTTGCTGCTGTTTTCCTTGCGTGATGTTTTCCAAGCTGAACATCGGATGTGGTTGCCCAGAGAGGTTGTGGGCTCCCCATCCCTGGAAGTGTCAAGGCCAGGTTGGATGGGGCTTGGAGCAACTTGGTCTAGTGCAAGGTGTCCCTGCCCATGGCAGGGGTTTGGAACTGGGTGGTCTTGAAGGTCCTTTCCAAGACAGACCATTCTGTGATAATCGCCCTTTAGGTTGTTTCAGTCTCAGGGAAGCAGTAAATCCTGGGATTAGTTCTTCCATGGGCATTTCCTTAAAATAATCAGGCTTTGTGTTCTGGGATTCTTGATTCTTTTTCCTACCTCAGGACAGTAAATAAAGCTTTGCAGCTAGCCCGAGATTTGTAGCAGATTAACGTATTAAATTAGATTAAATCTCTTGTATTTGTTTTGGAAAAGGGAACCTTTTATTCTTACAGGCCTCACCTGCCAAACAGAGATCTTTCCATTTAAACTGTGCATTTTAATGAGGTGCTTCCACTGCAAGGCATAAACCTTAGGTTTTTCAGTTGTATACTTTAAATAATGATCTGAAATAGCTTTTGTTGTAGTCATGATAGTAGTCTCTGCTCAAAAGGTGGGCTCCATGATTCCACCTGCCCTGCAGGATCTTGGCAAGGGTATGTTGTGCCTTGTCAGTTCATCCATCCCAGTTCATGTCTTACAGAAAAAAAAGAGATAATACCGGGCACACAGACATGTTTAGGGTTGGTGGAAATATTTCCTGTCGTAGTTCTGTTTAAATGGTTGGTTGTGTGAAGATGGAGGATGGTCTTAGGAAGGGACCAGATTATTAGAAGCTTTCTACTGGCTGAGTAAGAGTTCTGCCAACTCACGTTCCTTCCACAGAGTCGCTCTGTCAGTTGTGTTCATCCCTTGTACCTGTGAAATGAGGGCACCATGGCTGCTTCAACTCTCAGATACAATATTCATATTTTGACTCTTTAGCAGTAAAAGCCAAGAATCTGATCTCGAGAGACAGATGTGCAACTGCTTGCACATCTGTGAGCAAATAGGTGTCTTGGAGCATATTGCCCTTCACTGTGAATGCCAAGGAGAGTTTGAAGAGAAAAGGGCAGGCAGCAAGGGTGAAGAAAGCCATTTTCCTCTTCAGGCATCCCTTTTCTTCTGAGAAGGTCCACAGGCGTGGCTGGCATAAAAGGAGACAAACCCCAGAGAGGTCAGTGCTGTTGGAGGTGTGGGGAGTAGCCATTCCCACAGGCAGTGGGTATTCAGAAGGAAACTCTGCATTTGACAGTGCTGTCTTCTGGATGACTTAGAAACATAAAAACACAACTTGGTTTTAAAAGAGGGCTTTTAATTTATGTCAGATGTGAAAGTACCTGTAAGTTTGATGTGTACTTTGCAGAAAGAGAGGAGCGTGCTAAGATTAGTTCTTAGATTTCCATTTTGTGAGTTGCCTCTGTGGCTTGACACAGAAACCACTGGCACCACCATTAATTTTGGTGTGTCCCCCCTGTGCCACAGGAGTAGGAGCTGAGTGCTGGAGTGATCTGTGTTACTCGGTGCACTTCATGGGGCTAAAAAATGGTTTGTCAGTATTTTGGATAATTGTTTCATTTCTGCGTGCAGTGAAGTGTATCTAGAGCTGAACAGATAATACATAAAATACATTGTGCGTTATGTTAATTCAGGAAATGGAAACATCATAAATATATATATTTAGCAGCATCTTAGCACTTTTAATTTTCATATGGTTTCCAAGCAGTTTTCCCCATTTTCTTGCCTCTGAAATACTAAATCCTTTTATACTGTATGTGTCCAGAGGAGGAGATAATGGGTGAGGTACCACGTCAAGAAAAAAAAATATATCTGTGGAGCTCAGAATTAACACTTAAATCCATGTGGAAAACCTTGTTGGAGTGCAAAATAGGATTTAAATTTTTTAAAACGAAAGGATGGTAGGACACAGGGATGGAGCCTGCAGATCCTGTGTTCTGTTTGTGCTTCTCATCTGTTGCATAAGCTTGAACAAGCTGCTTTGCATTTTCCTGCTTCATTTCCCCTGACAGAGATCTGTGTGTTCTGCTTGCTGTTGGGAAAGCACTTCAAAATCTTCAATTAGTATTATTGTGGACTTCTCTAAGCTTACTTCAAATCCATTTCCTCCTCACTCTTGCCTTCCTAAAGACAAGAACAAATAGAATTTTTTTTTTTTTTTTCAAATGGCATTGATTGACTGATATTCTGCAGCTGCTTAAGGTAGGATTTAACTGATGCTTTCTGTTGTCTGAGCAGCTCCAAATCGAGAGTCCTGTTGGGTACATCATGTCTCTAGTTCTGTCAGGGACATGCTCTGCCAGGAGGTACTTCCTTCTTCCTTTTAATCAGCAGCCTGGAGTTTGCAAACCTGCTGGAGTAACAGACCTTTGTAGGCGGCTTTACATTCCCATTGGATGATCTTACACATGAATCAGCCGGAGCTTGGAGTGTCGTGGATGGGTGGCTGACCCAGGTGATGCTGGAAACACGGTTTGTATCACCAGAGATCACACTGTCAGCCTGCTGATGCACCCTGCGGGGTCCTCAGGTGTGTGGCACAGCATTCCTGAACACCTCATCATCTCCTGGCACCTCCTGGAGGTGCAGGGCCGATGGACCAAACCGGGGCACAGCAAGTGTGAACCTCAGTGCAGGGAGCTCTTGTCTGAGGTGCTGCTGCTCCTGCAAATGAAAGAAGTGAATTCAAGCAGGAATGTGCACTGTGTAGGGTGCAGTGGTTAACCAGGAAAATACACCAATCCTGCCCAGCCAAGTGCTCCAGGAGTAGTTCAGTTTATGGAGTTAAATCACCGCACTGAGAAGAAACCACTCTCCAGTGAAACATCCGTGCCCAGAAGCAGCTGCCACGCTGCTGGGCAGCTTTGCATTCTCCATTAATGTTAACCAGTGTCCTGGCAA